GCGTTAGATCGGCCCCCCCCCCCCCCCCCACACCCCCTTGTGACGTCCCTGAGGTCCAGGATACTTCAAAAGTATTCTGTGACCCATCAGGAGCCATGTAAAGCCTATTGTACACCTTTAACCACCTTCATTTCACCTTCCCCCCTTTGCTCAGTTTCCCTAAATTGGGAAATTGTTACAGAAATCTTCTGCTTTTCAGTGACATTTTTGGGGAAATAATTACATTCACTTTTTCCCCTTCCGCAGGGTGTCTGATGGATATTCCATTATGTAGTGCAAAGATTTGGCATGAGAGAGAGTGACGCCTTTGTTCCAACCTCCTGGTAGGGGACAGAGATACAAACTGCTGTGGTGAAGTCTCACTGCCGAACTCTCAGAGGGATAGAAAGCTGTTTTTTATTCTATATTAAATGGATAAATTCACATAGAAGTGAAACTATATATATTTTAATACACATTCACACCTTCTCTATAATTATTTGCCATTTGGGTCTGTCCCCATCTGACAGTATACAGCTCATTGTTCCTTTGAACAAAGGTGCGCAAATATGAAGAGGGCACGACCTTTCCATGGGCCACATTAACTTTTCAGCTGCCCAGAACAGCATCAAATAAGTTACTAAATGTGTCAGTTCCAATAAGCTCTCTAAACACAGCTGGCTGGCGTAATTGTACTCGAGGTGATTTATGGGCGGCCTTTGTCGTTATCGGTTTACTAAAAATGCAAATATTACAGAGTTTTCAGAAGAAAAAGAAATGCAATATTGACCAGGAGGAGTCTTTTCAGCGAGTGCACACTATGAGCTACTTTTAAAGCTCGCCGGGAAGTCATTTTGACGCGACTTTTACATTGCAACGAGCTGCAGCACCTTCGTATAAAACTCTATAGGAGGCTCCCTCTAGTGGCCATCCCCATCTCAGACGGCAGGAGCGGCTTCCATGCTAAACATCTGCTGCCCTGTCGTTTTTGGGGAGCAAGGAGCGAGTCTCGGCATGCCCAGGGAGCATCGGTGCTGACCATGCACTCCGGTACTGGCCCAAGACACAGACTATTCTGCACATGAACATCCATTGTTACACTGCACATCAAAAGCTGATAGAACATATACAATTGCCACACAAAGCATTTTGTGATTTAAGGTTATTTAATTCAACCTTTACATTCCATTCTTGAAGCAACCAAATGGTTTTCTTAAGCTTCTAGTATTAGTTTCCTTGCAACCATGGCAACAGTACTTAAACACAGATTGCCGGAATCAAAGTCCTTTTTTTATTGTGTTGGCTTGTCGCTTTTCCCAGAGGCCTGCATTGAAATGGAGATCAATCTCCGCTATCCCGGACATAGGTTATCTGCAACGTTGATGATTTACTGATAGCAAAGAGCGTTTTCTCAGCAAAGTTAATAATTAGGTGATAATTAAAACAAAGTTATGAGTGGAAAGCTCAATTTCTAAAATAGCCCCACCCTCCCCCTCTAGCCCCTCCCTCCCCATCTAGCCCCTCCCTTCCCATCTAGCCCTACCCTTTTTTCACCTAGCCCCCACCACATTGTCTCTGAGATACTTAGGGGTTACATATAGACCTGGTACTTCCACCTCTTGTAGGAAGCATCTCCATTCCATACACCTCCCTCAATGTTTTCAGCTCTTTGGCCCTTCATCCCACAAAACCCTAACTTGTTCTTCTTGCCCGTGTTCTATACCTTTGCAGGAATGTCCGAATCGCACCCGAGACAAGTTCCAGAACTCTGAGCACTTAAAGAAGCTATTTGTGGACACGGTGCCCGTGCTGCAGTGGAAGAAACATGCTCAGGAGTCTGAATACGAAAGACTTCGGAAATTTGCTGGAGCCCAAGGTTGGATGGGCGTCACATGGCCAAGTAAGTGATGGACAGCCATGGATTGCCCCAAAACTGATTCTGTATAGATCTGAATGATGATTCGGTTGTGTAGCCTGACCTTCCATCCAAAAAAACCCAGATGGGAGGGCCAGCAGATAAGTACAGACTCTCTTTACAATGACCACAAATTCCAGGTGCACTGGAATAGGTAGCTTAGTATGCATGCTCTGGATTCTTCCACGGGCCTCCTCCCAGCAGCTCCAGTAGAGAGCAGGAAGGAAGAACTTGTGGAAGATGCCCAAATGGCATTTGACAGGTCCTCTTACACTATATGGCCAAAAGACTTTGGACTCCTGACCGTCACATCTACCTATATAGTCAAAAGCATATAGACACCCTTCTGATTTAATAAGTTCAGGAGTTTCTATTGAAGGATACTGTTAATATTACATCATATAAAGACATTGTAGACAATTGAGCTCTTCCAGCCTTGTGGTCACAGTTTGGTGAAGACCCTTTTCTGTTCCACCATGACTGTCCCCTGTGTACAAAGCCAGCTCCATAAAGACATGGTGTGACCAGCTTGGTGTGGTGGAACGCGAGTGTCCTGCACAGAGTCCTGACCTCAACCCTACTGAACACTTTTGGAATGAATTGGAACACCAACTGTGAGCCAGGTCTTCTCACCCAACACCAGTACCTGACCTCAATCCTACGGAACACCTTTGGGATGAATTGGAATACCAAGCCAGGTCTTTTCGTCAAACATCAGTACCTGACCTCACAAATGGGACAAATTCCCACAGACACCCTCCAAAAACTTGTGGAAGGCCGTCCAAAGCATGGAGGATGTTATAGCCGCAGAGGGGGCAACTTCATATTCATGGCCATGTTGGGGGTTGAGGCCAGTTCCATATTAATGGTCATGGTTTAGGATATCCAAAAGGCACTTATGGGTTTCAAAGTGGTCAGGAATCCACAAACCTTTGGGCCATAAACTGTATATTTTGTAGAAAAGAGTTTGGGGAGATGTCATCAAGGCCAATTTGAAGCAGACAAACTCTACATTGTTTCATTTTCTTAACACATTTCAAGAGTTCAACCAACAACAACAACCTTGGGGAATAATCCCTTTCAGGAAGGGAAAATAGGGATGGGGGGTACTCACAGTTTCTGTATCTAGAGCCAGGGATTAAGAAGTCATATGTTTAGATTCCAGGACCTTGACATCTTGTGTAATCTCTGCAGTTCTGAACGAAACGCTCAACCTGATGAACTCCGCGGGCAACGGCTACATGTTCGACACCTGGAAAGGCGACTCCCCCTGTATTCGTTGTGCTGTGGTGGGCAACGGTGGAATCCTGAATGGATCTAGAATGGGCAAAGAGATTGACGGCCATGATTATGTCTTCAGGTATTTCTGTGACATCCCCAGGTCTCCCTTTTGTAGCTTTAATATTTTTGTTGTGCATTTTACATTTTCCAAGTCATATTTAAAGACGAACGGCACTCCAGCTGCGGTGAAACTACAAATCTCGTCAGGCCTCTGGGAGCCATGGCTATAAGTCATGCATCACATCATGGGACTTGTAGTTCCACAACAGCTGGCGTGCCGAGGTTACCCTGCAGAAGTAGATCACTGCTGTAGTGATTTGTTGCTGGTTGATTGCAGCCAGCAGTAGATCAATATTAGAAGTATTCTGTTTGTGCACAGCTGCATTGAGGGGGTCTGGACCAGAGCTCCAGTGGCAGCCCTTTTATTTATCCCATGATCGGGGGACCTCAATGTCTGTTTGTGGTGACAGGTCCTCTTAGCGAAGGCATAAATGTCCCTTTTAGCCCATGACTCATCCCTACAAGCTGGGCATTTTCTCACGGCCATGTCTGTTACCTGCAGGGTGAACGGAGCCATTACAAAAGGCTTTGAAGAGGACGTTGGCAATCGCACTTCCTTCTATTTCTTCTCCACCAACACCTTGATGAACTCATTTCTGGCCTACGGGCACCGGGGATTCAAGAGCGTCCCGCGCACAGAGGTAACCCCAAATGACCAAATTATTATTTTAATACCTCCATGATTCCCTTCACTATGTACCCCAGGGCTGGACAAAGTAGCCGATCTTCAAAAATTACATCTGGTGCCCAACTTTTTGAGTTCTTCTCTAGTTGTCTTCAATGGCGCTGGTTCCCGGATTGGGTAGACTGGCTCCTGGATTTCATATTTCGTAAAATGGGAAAATTTGGAAACCCAAAATAAGAGGTGTGAGGGGTTTGAATTAGAAGCCGTCCCGCCTTCACTTTGCACGTCCGTGTCTTTTACTCTCCCCAGGAAACACGCTTCATCCTCTTACCCGATCACGACAGAGACTATTTATTAGTGAGAGCCGCGCTCACCAACAGCACCATCGACCGCGGCCGAGACAAGGGCAAGAAGTAAGTAGCCGGACTTTTCAAGCAACCGCCATCTCCCCAATGCGATCTGTAGAGCCGGCCATAGACGAGGCGATGTTCAGTCAATTTCAATCATTACCAAGCCACCGGGAATCGCACATGTGATCGATCGCGAATTCATAATAATCACAATCAGTCACCCACCCTGGAGTTCAATCAAATCCCATAGAAGGTCAAATAAATGTCAAGGAGAAAATGAGCACTAAATTGATGGATTCAAATACCGTTTATTGAAAAATGTTAGATTTTATC